CTTGTCGAGCGGATGCAGCTCTTCCAAAGGGTACCCTAAGGGGCTGTAAGGGGCTGTCCAGCAAAAGTGGCCAAGGATGGGCAGAAGAGCCAAGGATGCAAGGGGGAGCCTTGGCAAATCGCGGATTCTTACTATCAAACTTGACTGTAACTTCGCGCACCGAGCCTCGCGATTCGCGGTCATCTTCGCTCCGTCCAGGCCTCGGAACAAATAGCGAACACTCATGCCATATTCATCTGTCAACGCCTCCCTCTCCCCCCAATGTTCAAAGTTGGCGGTGAGTCTGATGAATTGTACCTCGACCGCAGTCTCCCCCGCGCGTGCCAACTTTGAGTTTGGACGGTGGGAGGGGGAGTGTTCAGTACACGTCGGTCGGAAGAAGTAAGTAAAAACATGAAGTATGAAGGCGGATAAAGTGGATTGGGTCCAGGTCCTCCCAGGATAATAACAAAACACAGCAAAAGCATGTCGATCCTTGAAGTAGGAAGGCGCTTGAAATATATTGGGATCTGGGAATCCAAACATACCTACTTCCAACGACCGGAATGTAATTGCTTCCCTCTACCGTCGCGAGGCCCCCGTGGAGAAGGCCAGCTCTCGGGTCCAGCCAGCGGCGAGAGATGGCCTTTCGCGCCCCCAGGGGTGTCCTGCAGGACCGCGGGGGGACGATTGAAGGGGCCCTGGGACACACACAAAAATACACACAAATACAAGGATTCCCCATCAATTCCCATATCTTCTGGGTTTGTCTTCCCCCCCACTGCCCATATTTTCCCATATGTTCTGGGGAATCGGCGATGAATTGTGTCTGTGTGTTTCTTCTCCTCTTTGCACCCCGCACCCTCCGGCCGCCTGAGGCCCCGCCCGTCCGCGCCCTGTCTCCCCAATTAGTCCTTTGCGCGCCCCGCCCAGCTCTTAACCGTAAGAGGCCCGCTCTCGACCCGCCGACCCCCCCAAAAAAGAAGTGTTTCTTCCCCTCCTGAACGCTGCCTTCCGACACTCTCTGGGGGGCCGACGTGGCGCTTCGCCCCGCCCGCGGTGCGGCACGCTCTGGGCCCCAGGGGCACTCCAACACGGGCAGGGAGAGCCCGGAGTTAAGTCGGGCGTGTCCCCCGACAGGGGGATTTTCGACGAACAATAAAATAATCAAAAAATAATCCAAAAATGGTCTGGGGACTATTGTGTTAGTATTTTTTGACCTGTTTGGTGTATTTGTTTTGGTAATTTGTATTTTCAATCGAAAATCCCCCTGTAGGGGGACAGGCCCGACTTAAGCCCAGAGTCGATGTCGAGTCGGCGATCGAAGTGCATCGGAGCGGCGGAAATCGGCCGCCGAGTCGGGAGGAGTCGAATCGGCTGAAGTCGGCGGAGTAGTGAAGCCTCATTGACAAATCGGGACCCAGATCGGAGCCTGAGGTCGACTCGAATCGGAACCGGAGTCCATCAAAATCGAATAGATTCGGATCGGTGGAATCGAAACGAGCCCTGCACAGGAGGAAGTTCCAGGGTCTGTCCTAGGAAACTCTGGAGAGCGAGATCCACGCTGTCCCTTCAAAAGCAGAAGCCGATGGGATCCACCTTGACCAAGTCTGTCGCTGCATCGGATCTTGTAGTCGGAATTGCGCAGCTGCGCTGTGCAGACAAACTGAATACTGTGGGACGGCAACACGCGCAAGGAGAGTTCATGGAGCGTTGCCGGTGACGCCATGCACTGATCTAGAAACACGCACATGCGTGCGTGCGTGCGTGTGTGTGTGTTTTGTGTGTGTGTGTGTGTGTAGGTGTGCGTCTTCCCGCTGGGGGTGAGTGATGTTTCTTCTCGTCAGGACGCAATAGGAAACGAGACCCGAGGCGGAAGAGGGGGAAGGTTGATGATGATGATGCTGATGATACTAGTGAGGAGGAGGAAGAGGAGGAGGAAGAAGACATAGAGCATGGAGAGGGGACTTCTCAAGAGAAGGGTTGATGGAGAACGAATAGGACATAAGCTTCTTGAAAACCTCTCAAGAACCTCCCATAAGCTTCTCGACCGAGACTGCCTGTTTGACGGGTGACGCCCTGCACTCATGAGAAGGGAGCCGACCACCAACACCACTAGGGGATATTGGACTTGCTGGTTGCGGGCTTCAGATGTGCATGACGCCCCCCGCGAACTCCCCCGAAGCGCGCACATTCAACCGTATCAGACGGATGCGCGATAAGGATTCAAGGGCCTTGGACGGCCATTTCGAAGCTTGACGTTTTTCCGAAAAGGGGCAAGGATGCAAGGGTACCCTTGGGCAGGTTGCCCATCCTTGCTATGCGGGTCGACTGCACTCCCCGTCACCACCTCCCTGCATCACCCCTCCGCCCCCTCCAAGTGGTGTTGGCTGTCTTTTTCCTGCGCCAGGGTGCGCCGAAGAAGGGGGGGCCAGGAAGACGAGCGTTACAGGAGGAGGCCAGTCCACAAGAAACTTCCCACAAGAAACCCAACCCTGAGACCCCAGGACGTGCCTTGGTCTTTGGTGTGGGCGTCACGCTTTCCATCACAACGACCATCGAAACCCAAGAAACCCAGGGCACCCTGGAGGCAAGCAGGGTGTTTTTCTTGGCATGGGCCTCCACTGTACTGCATCGTAGTCCGCGGCATGTGCGCACACGAGGGGGGACCAGGGAACGCATTGAGAAAAGGGGGGCCATGACATCTGGGAGACTTCGTGGCCACGGCCACTGCATCCACGCCCCCCTGGCGCCTAATCTTTTTAAGCCCCTGAACCACCACCCTGTATCCCGCCTCCGCCCCCTTTGAAGCGGTGGTGCTGCTTATCCTCTCCCCCTCCTCAGTCATCTCCTCTTCCTCTGCACCGCCGGGATATACGCCCGCATCCATACCTTCTGGAGCCCTGCACTGCAAGGCCTCGCGAGCAGTAGATGCGGGTATGGCAGGCTCGTACCGTGACGATTTGTGCGGTGGTCTCTGACACCGCGCGGATCGTTCAGCCTTCAAAGATCGCGGCGCTCCGACAGAGCAGATCGCTTGACCAATCCCTGGGCAACGTCGGCGTTCAATCTTGGATGCCCGCGCTGGGGTCGCCGCCGCGTCGACTGCAGGCCTCCTAAGCAGGGCCAGTGTAAAGGGGTCGGGGGATCGCGCCGAACGCCGATGCATCGCCGATGCGTGGATCCTTCAACATTGAGCGATTGGCGCTCTCCGAAAGCGCGGAACGCTCGACATCGGCCGCTTTGGGGCTCCTGGTAACTCGCGCTGGAGTCGCCGCCGCGTCGACACGACGCGAAACTTGGACAGCCCCTCCAGGTAGTCCTGGCTGGTCTCAACAGGTTCCCCGAGTAGTTCCAGCTGGCCTCAACAGGCCCCCCGAGCAGCCTGGGGCGGTCTCAACACGCTGGCGCCGCTTGCCGCGGTGCCCTTGGAGGGCTCTGCGCCCAATGGACGTGTTGAGACCGCCCCAGACTACCCCGGGGGGCCTGCTGAGGCCGCCCAGGACTACTCTTCGGTCGGGCATGTCCTCCCACGGGCGGATCTCGGACGGAAAATACGACACGCGCCAGACATGTCCAGACATTGTCAGACACGTCGTCGAAAACTCGCCCCCAGACTATTCTGGTTGACGGTGTCTGCAGACTCCTCCCGTGGAGGAGGAGGAGGAGGAGGAGGAGGAGGAGGAGGAGGAGGAGGAGGGAGGAGGAGGAGGAGCAGGGAGGAGGAGGATGAGGAGGAGGGGGAGGAGGAGAAGGAGGAGGAGGAGGAGGAGGAGGAGGAGGAGGAGGAGGAGGAGGAGGAGGAGGAGGAGGAGGTGGTCGTGGAGCCCCGCCGAGGCACTCCTGGTGGGCGCTGCCCCGGGCGCGGCCGGGAGCTCCGGCCTCCGACGGCGGGCCTGCGAGCCTGTGCTCGCTCGAGGCGCCCCCCCCCCCCCCCCGGGGGCACGGGCGGCCGAAGAGTGGCCCCTCCTCCTCCCCTCCTCCTCCTCCTTCCTCCTCCTCCGTCCTCCTCCTCCTCCTCCTCCTCCTCCTCCCTCCGCCTCCTCCCTCCTCTCCCCTCCTCCTCCTCCCTCCTCCTCCTCCTCTCTCCTCCTCCTCCTCCTCCTCCTCCTCCTCCTCCTCCTCCTCCTCCGCCTCCTCTCTTCCTCCTCCTTCTTCCTCCTCCTCCTCCTCCTCCTCCTCCCTCCTCCTCCTCCCCTCCTCCTCCTCCTCCTCCTCCTCCTCCTCCTCCTCCTCCTCCTCCTCCTCCTCCTCTCCTCCTCCTCTCCTCCTCCTCCTCCTCCTCCTCCTCCTCCTCCTCCTCCTCCTCCTCCTCTCCTCCTCCTCCTCCTCCTCCTCCTCCTCCTCCTCCTCCTCCTCCTCCTCCTCCTCTCTCCTCCTCCTCCTCCTCCTCCTCCTCCTCCTCTCTCATCCTCCTCCTCCTCCTCCTCTTCCTCCGCCTCCTCCTCCTCCGATCCTCCTCCTCCCTCCTCCTCTTCTCTCCCGAGCCTCCCCGCCCCTCCTCATCTCCTCCTCCTCCTCCTCTTCCTCCGCCTCCTCCTCCTCCGAGCGGGGGGGGGAGCGAGAAGGCGGAGGCCCTCCCAGAAGGCGGCGGGGCTTCTCAGGAGCCGTCGGGCCTTCTGAGGAGTGGTCCTCCTCCTCGGGGGAGGCCCAGGGGACTTCTCAGAGGGCTGGGGGACTTCCGAGCCTTCTGAGAAGGCCCGCCCCTTCTCACTTCCCCCCGGGCTCCCAGCCGAGAAATGGGTACGAAGAACATGGGCACGATGCCCAACAACAAATATTGCCCCAAACCGACAGAGGCCGCTCTTGGGCAGGCGGCCTTTCGTCTTTAGTGAACGGCATCCGCGGCGGCGCGGGCAGCGAGTCCTGTTCGACATAAGCAGGAACTGCTGTTGGGCATTGTGCCCATTCTTTCCGTACACACTTCGGTCGTCCCGAGTGGCGGGCACGGACACCTTCTGGCGGTGGGCCCTCGCCGCCCCGGAGAGAGCCGGCCACCCGCCAGAGAACTCCGCGCGCGCCTCATCCGCGCGGCCGTCTGGCGGCGCCTGGCGCAGCGCCTGCCGCGAGGGCGCCTGCCGACTTTTTTTCAATGTTAGCTGTGTGTGTGTGTGTGTGTGTGTGTGTGTGTGCGAGCGCGGGCGTACATGTGTTACTCATGCGTGACCTTCCGTGCGAGCCTCGTCGCCAAATGACGAGACGCAGAGGGTGCCAGGAGGCCAGGGCCGTGCACGGCTGGACTCACGTGCCGGAGCATGCGGAGGGCGAACACCGGGTACAGTAGAGGCACGACCACAAGAAACCTTCCACAAGGAAACCCAACCCTGACACCCCAGGACGTCCATTGACTTCTGGTGTGGGAGCGTCGACTTCCAGAGCAAAACAGAAGGCGGCAAGGATGGACCGCAGAGGCGAGGATGCAATGGAACCCTTGGGAAAGTTGCCGCTCCCCTACTATGCGGGTTGACTGTATCCACTTCCCGGCCCCCCAGCGTCGAGGTCTCGAGCTTTTCCGAGCCCACCGCCCGGCGGAGCGGAGTGACACGCTACAACCGCTTGCGGGGCACGGCGTGTCGCCGGGGCCACCGCCACGACACGCTGAGCAAACGTTCCCGACCGTACCATCCTGCTGCCAGGAGGGGCGGCGAGCGAGGGGAGGAAGTGAGGAAGAGAAGGCCTTCTCAGATGGCGGCGGGACTTCTCCGAAGCCCTCGCGCCTTCTGCGAAGTCTTTTGTGTCTGCAGGGAAGGCTCAGGAGACTTCTCAGAAGGCTGGGGGGCTTCCAAGCCTTCCGAGAAGGCCCGCCCCTTCTCAATTCCCCCCCTCGCTCGCGGCCGATAGTGTGTACCGCGGGTTCGTGTCGTGCCGACTTCGGCGATGGTTCCTGACACCGCGGGGATCGTTCAGCATTGAACGGTTGGCCGTTCCCGAAGCGTCAACTCGTTCAACATTGACCGATTCTGGGTCGCTGGCGGCGTTCAACGTTGAATGCCGGCGGCGGGGTCTCCGCCTGTTGACACGACACGAAACTAATCGCATCCACTTCCACGTGCAATCGAAGTCAGCAGCGAAGGTGCAATGTACGGGTGCAACGCCCTTGTACGCGCATGAAACATGCTGCCGCAGCCTCAGGAAAACCAACCACGTAGAACACACAAAGAAGGATGGGTCAAAGAGGAAAGGATGCACCATAAATGTGTCCTTGGATGTACCTCCCCCGACTGCTATATGACACTGAAGCCACCAAAACGATTACACTATTCGGTGCAAATATTCGTCCTGGAAGAAGGCGCTTCCAAAGAGAACCGCGACTTCAGCGCTCAAGTGCTGAATTTCGAATATGGGGATGTTGTCCCAATGCTCCCAGCCGGGACCACGGAACATATGTAGGGACGAACTGCGTGTTGGGTCACAGAGCCGTTCAAATTACCAGGCAAGGCCTCTCACGTGGATGCAGCAGGCTCAACCTACCAACGGTGATCCCCTAAGAAGTATTCGGCTTGCCGAACTTCCAAACTCCGACCCCCAGCAAACCACACGGTTGCCTTAACCTTCCGAGTGGGATTCCCTGCAAAACTCCTAGTACAGGAGAGGGAGAGACAGAGAGAGAGAGAGAGAGAAAAAGAGAGAGAGAGAGAGAGACATAGAGAGAGAGAGAGACAGAACGAGAGAGAGAGAGAGAGACAGAAAGAGAGAGCGAGAGAGAGAGAGAGAGAGACAGACAGAGAGGTGGAATCGCCGAGCAAAATAGTCCGGCCTTTCCTCTCCTTGGAGGCGCGCGCAGGGGGGGGGGGGGGGCAGCGCGAGGGGGGGCGCCGTGAGGGCGGAGCACGCCTGAAGGCGGGGGGCCGGGGCCTCCAAGAGGGCGGAGCACGCCTGAAGGCGGGGGGCCGGGGCCTTCTGAAAGGCCGCGGGGCCACCAGAGAAGGCTTCTCAGGAGCTGGAGGAGGAGGAGGAGGAGCAGGAGGAGGAGGAGGAAGAGGAGGAGGAGGAGGAGCAGAAGGAGGAGGAGGAGGAGGAGGAGGAGGAGGAGGAGGAGGAGGAGCAGGAGGAGCAGGAGGAGCAGGAGGAGGAGGAGGAGTCCCTGGCCTCTGGGACGCCTCCCCAGCCTCCGTGGGAGGCCGCCCCCCTCGCGCCGCCCCCTCGCGCGCGCCACCAGCGCCCCGCCCCCTCCCCCCCCGACGGACTGCCTCGTGGCATTCGGGGTCGAAGACCGCTGCCACCCATCACGGCGGCGCGAGGACCCAACGAGGACCCCAACACCACAGGATGGCTGGGAAAACACAAGCCCGACCCTCGAGCCCGACGACGACGACAGCGACGACGGCACTTCCGCGGAAGCCGCCAGAGCGCAGGCGCCGCCGACAGTACCGACGACGACGGCGACCCGCATTGCCTGTGGGAGATTCTGCTACACAGAACAGTCAAGTGCACGTTTGTGGGAGATAAGCAAGCGGTGTGCAGAGTTATCAAAGCGGGGGGCTCAATGAAACTGATGCACCTTCCGAGAACACATCGTATAGATGCCGCTGCCATTTCTGAGCAGTTTACTCGAGGGATTCGGCCCCCCCCGCACGGCTAAGCCCAGCACGGTGGAAGGGGGTTAAAACGAAACGGTGCTCTCTTCTCTTCCGGGGGGTGGGGGGAAGTAGGAAAAAAACGCCTCCTCCTCCTTCCTCCTTCACATCAAGGTCCCCCCCCCCGACCTCCTCTCCCGCAGAGGCCTCCAGAAAGGGGCCCGAATGGATGGCATCGGAGCATCCGCCGCATCGGCGATGCATCGGCGATGTCGGCGTTGAGAGAAGCGGGCTCCAGATCGACCCGCAACGCCGCTGCATCGGCGATACTGCGTGATCCTCCGACCCAGTTTACTCCGGCCGCGTGTGGGAGGCCAGGAGTCTCCCCTTCGGTGGCAATTCACGGGGGCCTCCCATGCCATCTTGTTGACTCTCGCTGGTCGACACTACCGTGGTTTGCGAAAGAAATCAACTCCCATTTCGACTGCGTGTTGAAGCGGGTCCCCCCCCCCGGCCCCAATTTCGAAGTTCGGGGCGGTCGACGCGGGGGACTGCGAGTCGTTTCGAAAAAAACGCCCACATTTGCAAACCGCGGCCTGCTCCCTTAGATGAACTTTGAAATTGGGGGCGCGGGGGGGGCTCTTGCGCCATCCTCTAGGCGTTGTACTTGGGCGTTCTTTTTCTGCTGAAAACGCCGGAGTCAGTTTAATTGCGCCGCGTACGTGGCACCACATCTATTGCACCATTCAAGTTGCGCAACATAGCTTACACACCACATCGTTTGCGTCACGTTCTGTGCGCAGTACCGATTGCGCCACATAGATGCCACCACATGGCTTTTGCACCACATACACTGCTCCGCATAGCTGGCACCGCGTAGCTTGCGCAACATCGATTGCACCACGTAGGTTGCGCCACGTAGACTGCGCCACTTATACGGGAACGAAAAGTGACATAAACATAAAAACTCGGAGGTCCGCGCGAATTTCTCAGATCGGCGCTGGACCCCCCTGGCGGCGCCTCTGGCGCCGCCCCCGGCGCGCTCCGCGCGCCAGGGAGGGGGGTCCAGCGCGGATCCGAGAAATCCGCGCGGACCTCCGAGTTTTTATGTTTATGTCACTTTTTGTTCCCCTAGCTTAGACGACAATGGTGACTGAGATCCGTCATCCGCGGCCGCTCTCGGGAGCGGCCAAGAGGGGGGGGTCCAAGAGGGGGGGGGTGCAAATCATGACCGGCGGCATGTGCGCGGCCCAGCGGGGGGTCCTGGGACGTAACAGAATCAGAAGAGGCGCCATGAAATCTGAGGAAAAATCATGGCCCGCGCCATGAAATCCCCCCCCCCCCTAGCCACCACCCCCCTCTTTTCCGCTCCCGACGCTCGGCTCAAGCCCGACTCTCGGCCCCGAGATCTGCCGGACCCTGCTGTCCGTCGCGCCGCTTCCGCCCTCGCGCGGCATGATGGCCCCGCGCGTGTCCACATCGCCGACGAGGACCGTGCCGCCGCGCTACTCTGATGTCGGGCGTGTCCCCCTACAGGGGGATTTTCGATGAAAAATAACAAATACCGCAAAAATACTCCCAAAATATAAAAAAAATGCTCCAAAACTAGTCCCCAGACTATTTTTGGACTACTTTTTTTTTGTTATTTTTGGAGTATTGTATATTTTTCGTCGAAGATCCCCCTGTAGGGGGACACGCCCGGCATAACGCTAGTCTCTGCGGGGAAGAGCCCGGTGGAGCTGCGCGCGCTTCTCGGGCGCGCGCGGACGGCCCGCGGCAGGCCTGGCCCTGGCCTCGCGACCGCGCGCCGCGCGCTCCGCGGAAGCGTGCCCGAGTGGAGGCGCGCGCTCGCAAGACGAAGTCGACCGCCGCGGAACTCCGGGCGCTGGACTCTGCCCGGCGTCGCCGTATTCAACGGGCGAAGGGGGGGGCCGGATGTGCGCATCAAGGACGTGATGAGAGCTGCGCGGGTGACAGGCGCGGCGCCATCCACCGCATCCAGGCACTTCGCGGAGCACTTGGGCGTCAGTTGGAGATCGTCCCGTGCTGAGCCCCTGCGCGCGGAGGAGGATATGGCCGAGCGCGTGGACATGTGCGCGATGTGGAAACGCCTTCCGAACGACTTCTCCACCGACCGCGTCGACGCGATCATCGATGACAGAATCTCCCAGGTCCCGGCGCGCGCCCGCGCGAAAGTGCACGCCCGGAAGAGCCGCTGGAGGGGCCACCTGCGCATGCGCGGCGAGGGGTTGCAGAAGCACTTCGCCAAGTCCAAAGGGAACAAACACCGAGTGAATCCTGGCGCGAGAGTGAACGCGGCGGCGGCGATTATCAAGGGCAAGATCCGCGTCTGGCACTACCTCCCGAAGCGCTGGTGCGCCAGCGCCGCCTGCGACTTCTACTCGAAGGTGCTGGCCCCGTCGCTGCGCCGCAACTGCCCCGCCGAGGCTCCCGGGCCGTGGGGGGCTTCGGGCAGAGACCCTGCTCGTGCGGAGCGCGCCGCGGCGACGCTCTGGACTGTTCGCGGCGCCAGCAGGGGGCGAGCATCCGGCTCCCATCCTTTCGCCGACCCAATGCTTAGCACGATTGCCGGTGATTGCCAGATAGTTGCCGGCCAAATGCAGGATAGTTGCCGCCTGCGTTTTACGTGATGCCGTCGTTCTGGTTAGAAAAAACGCCATGAATTCGCCCAACAGAATGGTCGGCAACTATGTGAAACTGAAGTGGCAACTATCCGGCAACCGGCCAGCAACTGTCTGGCAACTGCAGGGCAGTTTTTAACTGCCTGGCAACTGCAGGGCAACTGTCTGGCAACTGTCTGGCAACTGTCTGGCAACTGCAGGGCAACCGTCTGGCAACTGCAGGGCACTGTACGTACCAGCAACTGTGCAACAGATAGGGTCCGCCACAGGAGGCGGGCCGGGGGCTCGGCCCGCGGCCGACCGCCACCCCCGCCGCATTCCTGGCGCCCTGCCAACCTGCCTCAAGGCATGTCCAGCACTGCCTGGCTCGCCATTGCCCAGGCCAGCTCGGGCCGACCCTGCGCCCGCAGCTGCGGCTCGCGAATCGCACCAGGAGTTCAAAACCTACCAGATGTGCTCTACCCGCGATCTGGGTGGGCCGCAGGGCCCAGTGGCGTGTCTCGGGCGGAGTGCGCGCGCGAGTCGCACGCGCGCGCGTGGCAGGTGGAAGTGGCTGGCGCGGATTGCGGGTCGGGTCGCCAGCTCGGGTCGCGGGCGCGCCTCGCGTCGCAGGTCGCGAGCGCGGGTCGCGGGCGAAGTTGGCGGGTTGTAGGTCGCTGGCCGGACTGGCGATATCCTCGTCGGTCCTTAGCCAACCGAAGACGGAACACGTGATAACATTGCCGTGCCGCTCATCGGCAACGTTGCCTGATCGGAACGGTGCTCTCGCCGCGGCGCTGGCCAGCGGGGCCGCGTGATTTCCCCCCCTCCTCCCTCTCCATCTTGCGGGGTAGGCGTAGGCGTCTAAGCGCCCGCCCAGCCGTCGACCCCGCGGCCGGGGCCAGACCAAGCCGCGTAGGTTGCACCAGGCAGACTGCACCACGTGGCTGGGTGCACCCAACCGACCGTCGGGGGGCGCCGTGGTTTTCGAGCAAAAACGCCCATGTCGACTGCGCGTTGAAGCGGGCCCACCCCCGCGGCCCCAATTTCAAAGTTCGGGGCGGTCGACGCGGGGGAGTGCGAGTCGTTTCTAACAAAAAAAAAACGCCCACATTTGCAAACCGCGGCCTGCTCCCTTAGATGAGCATTGAAATTAGCGGCGCGGGGGGCGCTCTTGCGCCTTCCTTTAGGCGTTGCACTTGGGCGTTCTTTTTGTTTTTCGGAAACGTCGGTAATCGACGCTAGGCGACGCTACATCGGCGCTACCTCCTGGACTACCAAGCTCTAGTCGACGCTAGCGCACTCTGGAGACGGACTTGCGAGGACATACAAGGCTCCCATGATTTGCTACCGAACTCCGGGCCATCGCTCGGACGTCCATTCCGTGCGCGTTGTTCGGTTTCGTGCGTGTGTTCTTTCGCAAGGTGATCCAAGATGCTCCTCGATGGTCCTCGCCGAGGAAAAGTGCACACGTCTCAGCGGTGCCAAGACCCCCCCCTTCCTCTCGCCGGGGACGCGCTCACCCCTCGTACAGCCAGGGCCATGCCGCGAACGCCCGCCCTGCCACAGAGCAGCTCCCAGAATCTCGGGTCAGCGGAGGGGAGAGGACGGCTCCTCGACGCAGCTCCCTCCCCCTCGGCCTCCCAAGAGGCCTCCCAGGTGGAGTCCGAGTAGACGTGCACGGAGGATCGCGCCGCATCGCCGCTGCATCGACGAGACATCGGCGATGCATTGGCGACATCGGCGGCGCATCGGCGTCGCCAGCGTGTGGAAATTGGGTTGAACATCGAGCCGCATCGCAGATGCACCAGCGATGCCGTCATTTTTTTGTTTTTTTTTCAAAACGTCGACCCCCAAAGGTCTTGAGCCGTTCCTCGGGACTCGTTTTTCATCCTGAGTCGTTTTGTTGACGGTCCCGAGGCCCAGCAAGGGCCCCCAGAGGCAGAAAATATTGAAAAACCGTCCGTCGGGATTTTTTCGTGACTCGATCGAGGAAGAAGCAACTACTTGTATACACAGAAATTGTCGGGTGTCCGCGCGGATTTCTTGGATCTGCGCTGGACCCCCTCCCTTGCGCGCGGAGCGCGCCAGAGGCGGCGCCGGAGGCGCCGCCAGTGGGGCCCAGCGCCGATCCAAGAAATCCGCGCGGACCTCCGAAAGTTGATATTCATGCAGTTTTTCCTTCTTTGAAGCTAGGAGGTCTAGACTCCCCCTGCTCCTCTGACGGCCGGCGAGAGCCGCGCCAGCGTCGTCGTCATCGTCGTCCTCCTCCTCCTCGTCGTCGTTGTCGCCGCCGTCGTGGTCATCGTCGTCGTCCTCGCGCAGCTCTGCGTCGTCCTCGTCAACCTCGCTCAGCTCCTACGAGGGGACCTGGCTGCCAGGAGGTATTGCACACACCTGCCGAGGCACTGCTCAGAGTCAGAGGCAGAGAGGGCGTGGACCTCACATCCTCGTCGTCCTCGCGCAGCTCTTTTGTTTCCACCGAGTGCCTCAAACTCAGAACAAGCGCTGGTGTCCCTGCTGGATCGCACGAGTCGCGCTCCTTGGCGTGCTCTGAGGCATTGGTCGCGGCCAA